AATAACTTAATTTCTGGACATTTATGGTTTGATTTCTTTGTATGTATGGATCACTTGGGTTGTTACCGACATCTGGTGAAAATTTACTGTCATTAGCACCTCTAGTAATATATTTACTGAGAAAAATGTTGATGTGTTCAATACTTATTTTACCCGCTGTGCGTATCAAACACACACACACGCAATTATAAGTAATAAAAACACATTAGCAAAAATAACCATTCACGTAGTGTTTGAGGCTCCACATTTCAAATTCAAATCAAAACAGGATGCGAAAATAGGAAAAAAATTAGATCAAGTCCAATATTGAACCACTGAGAACATCTGTCACTTCAGTTTGTTCATTTCAGTAACAGCAGTGGTAACAAAACTGTTTAAAAACGTTTTGTCCCACATTTGGGGACCAAAAACCTCTGGCCTGATGGAAGAAGCTGAAACTCCTGGTAAAGGGGATGGAAATCCTTTTTTAGAGCAGAAAAGGCTATCCACTGTACCTGGCTGATGAGCAGAGATGCAACTGATTGTTGGGTCTCTCCAATCAGTTCAGATGATAATTTAACAATCTGCTGAAGGTAATTTTTTTTCAATGTAACTTGACCGAACCATGACACCAGGGAAAAGGATAAAACTGTTTCAACAAAAGCATGATAAAACATGGTCATTATGGTTCGGTCAATATTAAAATGGCGGAGTTTCCGTAGACAGAAAAGATGCTGATGTGCCTTTTTGCACACTGTGTCAAAATAAATTTCAAAGTTTAGTGTATCTGTCCTGTCACCTCGTTGATCCTTTACCACACCTGTGTCTGTCCTGTCACCTCTTGCTGCAGCTGTTCCATAGCCATAAGGTAAGTCCAGTTCCTGCTACAATCCCAGTCTTTCTCACACCARTTTCCTTTCTCTAAGCCTCTAACTGGTTTGTTGGTGTGTCTACAGAAGTATTATGGTCTGGATTATAAGTGGGGTCACATCGAGCAGTGGATGGTAGGAACCCTTCAGACCCAAATTTATGGAAACCTCCTCTRAATCTCATCAGTCGGGTTCTGTTTCAGACTGGTCTGGGATCAGTCAGTTTAATGTTTTGAATTCTCAAGATCCAAAAACTAAACCATTAAAACTGAACAAAGCACAACCGGAGCTGTTGGTCCAGGTCTGCACCCTTTTCCCCACTTAGCCCAGGGTCCTGTAAAGACCAAAGGGGGTTTCCATGTCTTGCCTTGTTGTTGTTGTTTTGTTTTGTTCTGCACACACCCTGTTGGGCTCACAGTGGGATTAGCAGCATGTTTAATCYGTCTGACAGATTATCAGCTCTAATCGTCTGCAGCTGGAGTGTCTGAGCTGATGCTTTTTCATGTGCACAGCCTGTGCATGCTTAGTTCATGCTCTGAGCTTGCTCTGTACACCTGTAGGTCTGTACAACTGTCAACCTGAGCATGCACTGTACACCCCTCAACCTGAGCCACTGTACACCTGTCAACCTGAGCATGCTCTGTACACCTGTCAACCTGAGCATGCTGTGTACACCTGTAGGTCTGTACAACTGTCGACATGAGCACGATGTGTACACCTGTCAACCTGAGCATGCACTGTACACCTGTCAACCTGAGCATGCTGTGTACACCTGTAGGTCTGTACAACTGTCGACATGAGCACGATGTGTACACCTGTTGACATGAGCATGCTCTGTACACCCCTCAATCTGAGCATGCTCTGTATACCTGTCAACATGAGCACGCTTTGTACACCTGTCGACCTGAGCACACTCTGTACACCTGTCGACCTGAGCACACTCTGTACACCTGTCGACCTGAGCACACTCTGTACACCTGTCGACCTGAGCACACTCTGTACACCTG